CTGTGAGCCTGGCGAGGGGTGGCCACAGGGCCGGCCCATCTCCGGGAGGGGTCCGCGAGGGATCTGGCGAGTGCTGCCGCCCGCACAGCTCGGGGAGCCCGGGGCGGGCATGTGTGAAGCCTCCTCTTGCTGCCCCACCACCGTGTTCGGTTTCGGGGCACACGTGTAGAAACTAACCCTGACGGGGTGCTGTTTAAATGACTATAGATTATAGGGTGACATTAAGGTAGTAGGACGCCCCCCCCCCCCGGCTCTCTAGGCTGTACCTTCAGCATCGTGCTAATAAGGCGACGTTGTCTTCCTTGTGAGGATATCAGTGCTTAGTGTTCACACTAAGAACACCCAGTGGCATTTCTCCCTTGACTCTCAGGAATAGAGACGAGTTGGAACTGCTTTCGTGTGTGTGTGTGTGTGTGTGTGTGTGTGTGTGTGTGTGTGTGTGTGTTGAGTTTTCAACTCACAGTACTATGGAATTCCCGAATAAGTAAGTGCTCAAAAGAACATCAGTGATCCCTTGGGTCCTGCTGTGTGGGTTGGGGGATTGGCTGCAGGGGAGGTAGAGTGAAAAAGGCCTGAGGGAGATCCTAGATGATCATCCTCAAAGGTGGGAGGGACCCAGGCTGGGAAGAGCTCATAGGCCAGGTATGGAAGGACTGTTCAAAGAGGGAACAACTCTTGGAGCATGCAGGTGCTATGCCTTGGTCAGGAGGCAGTGACTCCCTGATGCTATACAGAGAGCTTTCCCCTCTCTGCAGTATTCTTAACTTTGGAGTGGTGGAGTGCAGAAACTAGCCAAATAATGGGCTCTAGAACAAGGCGCTGGGAGAATGTTCTGTGTGTAGTACTGGTCTTTCTTAGAACAATTTTTCTTGCCTTTTTGTGACTGAACATAGAGCAGTTTTAGTGAGTATTTGACAAGGGCTGCAGGTTGTGATGCCCATCCAAAAACTAGACAGGCTCCCTCAGGGAGCTTGCGTTCTGATGGTAGGAAGTTGAGAGATTACTAGAAAAGAATTGGAAAACAGTTGTTTTTTATTGTTGTTTGTTTTGTTTTGGTTTTGGTTTTTTGAGACTGGGTTTCTCTGTAGCTTTGGAGGCTGTCCAAGAACTGGCTCTGTAGACCAGGCTGGCCTTGAATTCAGAGATCCACCTGCCTCTGCCTCCCAAAGTGCTGGGATTAAAGGTGAGCGCCACCACTGCCCAGCTTGGGAAACAGTTGTTAAAGGAAATAGAAACAGTGATGTGACAGGGAACTGGCGGTCAGTTTGGACAGCTTGAAGGGCCTCTCTGACCTTCTGTTTGAGTGACTAGAAGAGGACTGCAACTAGAACAGCTGGTACAAGGGCCTCCCTAATCCAGAACAAGTCTGACTTGTCGAGGGGCTGATACTTTTTGGAGCAGGTCTCTGAAGCTTTGGCACAGGCTGCCATTAGATCCATCCTCTTAAGAACCCTTCGAGGAAGGCAGTGAGGATCTCATCACACAGGCTGTAACTAGATCCATCCTCTTAAGAACCCTTCGAGGAAGGCAGTGAGGATCTCATCCCATTTTCCAGATCTGAGCCCCAGGCATTCTTCATTAGCCTTCCCAGATCACACCACTCGGAAGTGCAGTGTTGGATCTGAAGCACACAGTGGGACTCCAAAGGTCACATTCTTAATCTTGGATGCTGCCTCTCACAGATTGTTATTGGCAGTGAGTTTAATCAAGATGTAGATCAATGTTTGTTTTATTAATCAAAACTTGACTAATGTGTTTTTGGTAAGTTTCCTAGTATCATCTGACATAGCTTTAAGCTGTCAGCTCAGCTTAGAGTACATACTTTAAAGGAATAGCTCTGTCTTGTCTTTTCTTTGAAATGGTCTCATTATATAGATAAGCTGGTCTGGAACTATGTAGACCAGGTGGACCTCAAACTTACCTGCCTCTCTGCCTCCTGAGTACTGGGATTAAAGTTGTGCAGCACCAGGCCTAGCATTTTCTTTTCAATATTACTCTTGTCTCAGTTTAAGCAAATGTGTTTTAGTGGTAAACACTGTAAAGTAAGGGAACATTTGCGTGTACCAGAGGGTGAAGAATATGCCTAAGACAGCCTTCTGTAGGCTGGGTTTTAGCCTAAGGGGGATGGCCATAGCCACTCTAGGTAGTACATTCTAATGTGGCCTCTATTAAATGTGGAATCCCTCATAAAGTTTAAAAATGTGCCCCCAGAAAGGAAAGCCATAGCTAGGTTTTTCAGTTAAATTGTGTACGTTTAGTTTATGCAACATACCAGAGATCAAAGGGCATTCTCAGTCTCTTGGACAGCTCCAAGTACTGTGCTCAGTGGATCCAGGAAATGGAGGCACATTCACAGCTCTTCATGCAGACTTGAGTCTGGCCTGTGTGGCTTTGGAGAAGACTTAAGATTTATGAGGCCACTGACATCTTTCTTCCTAAGGATTTCTCCAGTGTTCAGGTAGAGGATAGGCTGGAAGTGCTGGACTTGCAGTCCTGTTGCCCTACTGTGAGCCTGATCTTGCCGACTTTGGGAGCTGAGACCAAGCTCAAGACTTGCTGCAGACTGAAGTCTGCCTGTATGTCTAGTTTTTAATAAGGAGAGCATCATTTTACACATGATGAACCTGAGGCTGATTGTAGCAGCCAGAGAGTCTGCTGAAGGCCTCTCAGCTGCTCACCACAGGTAGATTTAAGTCATACTTGAATCACAGTTTGTTTCTTCACTTCAGTCTTTGTAGCAGAAGAAACTGGAACAGGTTTTATGCACAGATTTGAGAGGACCAGGACCGTACGATTTTTCCTTCACACCTTTCGAGTAGGATAGATGACGAAGGCCCTATCACTTAGCAGCTTCCCTGAGTCCATATCTGAAGAGCTGGGTGTCAGGCTGGGCCTGAGCTGCTGCCTGGCTTTGGTCTGCTGGAGATTTGTCCTCTGTGAAATTGAGGGTAGTGATGATCTGCTCAGCTGTCTAGGTTCTGTGGTGAATTCTGCCTGGGGTCCCAGCAGCATGTTGAAATGGCTAGGAGCAGATAGGGTTACCTTTAGTTGCCAGATAAGACACAGGGGCAAGGATAGATGGGCTGCCTGCTAGCCTTGTTGATAGGGGGAGGACCTGGCTCTGGGAGTATAGATCCAGAGCAGAACATGGGGAAGACAGGATGTTTGGTGAAGACCCAAAGAAATGCTTTGGATGAAATGTCAAGTCTTGACAGACTGGTCAGTAGAAGGGAACACTTTGACAACCCCAAATACTTTTTATTTTTAAAGTGTCTTGTATTTATCTCAGTTACAGAATGTCTGAAGGGGACAGTGTTGGAGACTCTGTCCATGGGAAGCCCTCAGTGGTGTACAGATTTTTCACACGGCTTGGACAGGTGAGTGGATTTGTAGATCATTAATAGAAATATTTGGAAGAGAAACTGTGACTCCTGATAAATCCTCCTGAAGGGTGAGTTTGCTGTTTCACAAAGAGAAGCTAAGCTACAGCTTGTCCTAGGTGGAAACTTTCAGGTTTTGGCTCTTCACCATGAGTGCCTGCATACACGTTTCAAAAAAAGGTCAGGTAGAGAGGTCTGGACAGTGGGGACCCCATCTATTTTTGTTTTGCTTCTTCTTTTTTAATGACCTTTAAAAATACTGAAATCTTTATCTCTCATCAGTGCAGATAGTGATGGTCTTTCACCTGCTCTTCCCACCCCATTTTTTTTAATCTGCCACTTGTATTCACTCGTCCTGGTACACCTCACCTTTTCTTGGCCTTCATGTGCCTGTTGGGTGTTGTTTCCTGCATGTGTGAGCCTTTTGTGTTGGCTCAGGTAGATGTAGGTCACTATGTATGGCTGTGTTTGAGTCTTCCTTACACTCACTATGTCTGAAAGTGTGAGTCAGTAAGCTGATGTGGCTCAATTAAAAACATCAAACTTTTGCCGGGTGGTGGTACACACGCCTTTAATCCCAGCATTCAGGAGGCAGAGGCAAGCGGATCTCTGAATTCAAGGTCATCCTGTTCTACAAAGTAAGTTCCAGGATGGCCAGGACTAAGATATATAGTTTAAAATGCTAGAATTAAATTTTAAAGTTGTATTTCAAAATTAAATTGTAAAACATATCTTTGTGTACAGGAAGTGTGTGTTTATAGAAAAACCAAGAGTTTCCTTAGTAATGGCTGTAGCTGCTTTGGTATGTCTACACACACGCTCTGGCTGCCAGCAGTCAAGCTGTGACCAACCGCTTACCAGTGGGGCAGACAGGACCAGTACAGGCCTGCTGGGCAAGTGCAAGGTCCTGGAGTCTTGGGAAAGCACATCTGGGGCAGGGACAGACCCCTTGGGAAAGTAGCTTTTGGAGTAGGATTTGAGCCATGAGTCTTATAGTATGGGATGGTGAATTTAAGATGTATGCTTTTTTCCTTTGCAGCTCAAGTCCTCTTTTGGGGTGAAGTTGGTCTTCTCTGTAATATTATTTCTGGGCTAATGCTGTAGCACAGGGTTTTTTTTTTTTTTTTTTTTTTTTAATGCTTGATTATTTTAGAATGTTTTTCCTTAAGAATTGGATCTGTTTCAGGAACTATTACAGATAAATCTTGGATTAATGGTAGTCAGTGCTTCATGCTGGTGTATATTACATAACCCTTTGCTGTTTTATGTGTACCAGAAAGTGTACTTTGTAGTACAGTGTGAGTTGTGGGCTAATGCCTTTAATTCTTGTCTTCCAGATTTATCAGTCCTGGCTGGACAAGTCTACCCCATACACAGCTGTCCGGTGGGTCGTGACACTGGGCCTGAGTTTTGTCTACATGATTAGAGTTTACCTATTACAGGTTAAGTATGGTCTCAACAGTTTTCACATTGTCTAAATATGCTGTTGGTTGGGGTGTTGACTGGATGTGTATTAAAGGGTGTGGTCTGTAATAATTACTTTTAGGTTGGTGGGAAATGTAAGAAAAGCTTCAGTGCAATCTCTGCATTCTTGAATGGAGTGTTACAAACTCAGGGTGCCATGAGTGACCTTTGGCACTCACATGGATTTAGTTGTGTCTGAGCTACTTCTGTGCAGCTAAAGAAACATTAAGAGGGTAATAGACAGGGCAGCTTAGGTATTAGGTTGTTCTGCAGGTCTGCAGGCTGGCTGTGGATTCCTGGAACAGGTGGCTTCTGCTCAGACTTTTTATTGCTTCCTAGTTAGTCAAACACTTGGTTTCCAAGAATTCCTTGCAGACCTGGGTTGGAGGATTTTCAGTGTCTCTTGACTGGATTAGAAGATTAGAGGCCTCTTCTTGAGTATTTTCTCCTCTGCAGTTGTGGAAAGTTATTTCCTCATTTAAAGCTCCTTCCTTCTATTCATCCGTCTGTCCATCCAGTGTTTAGGAGGACATGAGGACACGAGGCAACACACTTGTTTACTGGGTTCATTGATGCATTCACTACTGTACGAAATCTTAAAGTAAATGTAGAAACTTGTCCTTGATTGTTTTCCTATTGAATGTATTCCTGAGTAGACACAGTGTTGGTTTAGCATGAATGGTGGTGGTAGGCTAACCCTCTGGTTGATTCTAAAAGGCCTTGATCTGACCTGCATATCTGAAGTTAGCGTTGAGTTTCTGTTCATTGGAACTTGGTCGATTCACTAGTGGAAAGACTGGACTGGCAGCCTTGGGGTGGGGGTGGGGCATGACACACAGGTTGGTTGTGCTCTGTTCTGAATCAGATTTGTGCCTGACCTGGCATTCCTCAAACAAAGCTTGGCTTTGCAACACGATAGCATATAAGCATAAAATTGACTCACATCTAGTTTCTAGTTGTCTGACTTAAAAGTGTTTTAGGCAGAAGAGTTTCCTTTGGTTTGTATGAAAGTACAGGCTTTTAAGGTGTATGATTCAGTTCTGGAAATCAGCTTTAGTGTGCTAATGTAGGACTGCAGGGGTCCCCAGTTCTTTGTCTTCTCTGCAAAGTAGGTCTTGAAAACTTTACTCTTGATTTCTCACCTGGTGTGTGGTTCAAGTCTTTAATTTCAGCACTGGAGGCAGAGGTAGGTGGGTCTCTGAGTTTGAGGTCAGCCTGGTCTACAGAGTGAGTTCCAGGACAGCCAGGGCTACACAGAGAAACCCCCGTCTTGAACCAAAAAAAGAAAGGAAGGAAGGAAAGAATGCACATGTGCACTTTTCTCTTGATTCCCTGGGTCCAGTTCTAGGTTTTTCTCTTATGTGAGGAAGCTGACATGCCAAGTGAAGTGTTTTGAGGCTGTCTACAGAGGATTGCCTGCTGTCTTGTGTATAGTAATAGCTGGTGAACCTGTTTGCTCACAGCAGGTTTTGAGGCCAGGAATACACCTGAATGTCACCCAGGCGCCAGCTCACATTAGCCCTATGGGACAGGGCAGTGTGTCTGTTGAGGAAAACTTTCTTTTCTGCTGTAGCTGGTCTTGGTCAGAACTGTAGCTGTTTTCATGCACATTTAGCTGGACCCTTGAAGTTTGTTATCTGGGCCATAGGTTGCCAGTCATGTGAAACCCACAAGGTAAGTTGAGGTAAATGGTCACTGTGGAACATTCATGTCAGTTCACCTTGAGTAAACCATGTTCATAGTGTAACAGAACTTCATGGGTCTGGGCTCAGTGACCTGGTTCCAGCTGGCAGTGGCTGGGTTGCTCATTCATGATGGCTTTCCTTCTCTTCCAGGGTTGGTACATTGTGACCTATGCCTTGGGAATTTACCACCTAAACCTTTTCATAGCGTTCCTTTCTCCCAAAGTGGACCCTTCCTTGATGGAAGACTCAGGTACAGTGGGGGCTGTTGGGGTGCTGTCCAGGCTGCTCTGTGCCTCTGCATTCTTTTTGGGACAGTCCATGGGTTTGGGAACATTTGGACCTGGGCTTGCAGTATTTATATGTGCTTGTGATGTCTGGATCAGGATGAATTTGTTTATAAGATTACTCATTAAGCCCTGTGCAGCTCTGAAAAGGTTCACTCTTTATCTCCATTTTGCTTAGGGAGAAACTGAGGCACTAGGATTAAATAGCACATCCAAAGTCATACTGCACGCATAGCACACATGAGCAGGGCAGGGCAGGGCAGGGGTCTGCTCCTCTGATTCCTGCCTTCTGGTGTGATCAGAAAAATAGAGAAGCAGTGTACAGCAGAAATGGAGCACAGATCAGCAGGACCCTGGTTGCCAGGAGCTAGTACAGGCTGAGGGTATTGGTTGCTCCCTGGTTTCTGAGTTGAAATGTTCTTGGTGTGTTTTTGTACCATACTTATGGGCTTATGTTATCCCCAAGTGAGGCCAGCTTTGGATTGTGGCTGACAGATAGTGAACAGTGCCTTTGCAGGGACATGCTGATTTCAGATTGGATAATTAGAAGCCGGTCACCATTTAGCGAGACTTGATAACCAGGAGCATTTCCTTTAGATTCTTCGTCTGTAAATAGGATAGATGAGAAGATGCCTTGCACTTGGTAGTCCTGGTGCATAGGCTCTCCTCCATAGGTTTTGTGGACAAGGACAGTCTTGCCTGCATTTTTTTTTTTTTCTTTTTTCATTTTTTGTTTTTTAGGGACAGGGTTTCTCTGTGTAGCCCTGGCTGTCCTGGAACTTGCTCTGTAGACCAGGCTGGCTTCAAATTCAGAGATGCGCTTACCTCTGCCTCCTGAGTACTGGGATTAAAGGTGTGCACCATCACCACTTGGTTTTTTGTTTGTTTTTTTAAATGTGTATGTCACATGTGGAAGTCAGAGGACTTGCAGGATTTGGTTCACTCCTACTGTGTGGGTTCCAGGGATTGTTGGCTTAGCAGCCAAGTGTCTTTTATCTGCTGAGCCATCTCAGTGACACTTCTCTTTTTATTGTGATAATGGGTTTCTGTGTACTCCATGCTGGACTTGAGCTCACCGTGTTTCTGCCTCTTGAGTGCTAGCATCAGAGGCACGTACCACTATATGGCCTACATTCTCTCTTCACGACTTGTTTTATGTAAATGTCAGTTTGTCTTAATTTATATAACTGTATATAGTACAATAAATGAAAAGTCTGTGTGAAGTTGAATTTTTTTTTATGCGTTTAAAAAGTGCACAAATCTTATAAATCAAGTCTCACTGAGAGTCACCCACACTTTATCTCTGGTTGAATGAAATTTGTTCATGCCATGTGTGAGGCACAGTAGTTTAGAAGCATTTAGGGAAGACTTGTAAGTGGGGACAGAAGCCCAAAGGTAAGAGGCAGACGCTTCATCTCTAGCTGATGCTCTAACTTTCAGATGATGGCCCTTCATTACCAACCAAACAGAATGAGGAGTTTCGGCCCTTCATTCGAAGGCTTCCAGAATTCAAATTTTGGTGAGTGACTTTTTTTTTTCTATTGAACAATAAAATACATCTATCTATATGTCTTATTTTTACAAACACATAGTAATTGTCCATATATGGTGCGTGTGGAGTGACATTTTGGCACACTTAGATTGTGTAATGGTCATGTAATGGTCAGGGTTAGGTATTGTGAAGGAAGTCCGGCATTGTTGCCCACTGCTTACCCTCTTGTCTACACGTGGAAGTCATTTCTCCTGAGCAGTCATGCTTTATTTCTTCAAGGCTTTTGTGAAAGATACTTGGGCTATGAAAATAGACCAGTTTTTGTCCTTAGTTATTGGTTTTTAACAAAATGAGAATTTTGTTGTGCTCTATTTGAGTGTGGTGTGCATTAATCTAAAAGGTACTGGCTACCTTGGGTATGGGGTGGGTCACAGGACTTTTCTGGGGGAGACCACCACTTGACAGTGTTTTTCTCTGTCGAGAGTTAGTAGATGAAGTTAGTAGATGGTTCCAGAATGAAGGGTCCTGTAGGCACTGCTGTTGATTCAAGGCCACCCTGGGAAGGTTAGGCCTCTCACAGAGCAGACATCCTGGAAGTGCTGAGAGACCAGGAAGGGAGTGATGGGCACACATATGAGTAGGTATAGTGTAGCTCCTTGTATGACCTTCTATCAAAAGGTCAAAGCTGTGGCCTCCTGGCCTGTCTTTTGAGCCATCTGCCCCTGGAGCACAAAAGGAGCCAAAGTCTTTATTGGTTCAGTAAACTGAATGAGCAAACTGAGTTCTTTGAGTGTTTTGACTCTGCAGCTCAGGTGCTGTGCATGGAGCGATGTGTGGGATGTGATCTGGGCGAGGAAGCAGAAGGTGGGCAAGAAGCCCCCAAGGAACCTAATGTTGTTCTGTGGGAAAGAAGAGCTTGTGGGGGTTTCAGGGTTAGAGCCTGGCTACAGGTGTGATGACCGTGGCAGGGCTGTGTGCCAGGGTGGGAGGACACTGTGTTGTACTCAGACTCCCACTGTCAGGCCCAGAGCCCAGGTTATTGCTTCAGATGGCAGTTCCAGGCCACAAACATGAGGTGCATTTGGCTTTAGCTGGGATGTTTTATGCTAAGAGGACTTGGTTGTGGTTCAGTGTAGTACACACAGACCATGTGACACTACTCTACTCCAGAATTATCTCTAGTAGGTATGTCTGATCAGGTTAAGGCAGGAGCGGCTGTGGAGGCCAGAGAGGGTTGACAGGTGCCTGGTGCGACCTACAGGTCATTCTAATCTCTCCCTTTGCTTTAAGGCATGCAGCTACGAAAGGCATTCTTGTGGCTATGATCTGTACCTTCTTCGAGGCTTTTAACGTCCCAGTGTTCTGGCCGATCCTGGTGATGTACTTCATCATGCTTTTCTGTATCACAATGAAGAGGCAAATAAAGGTAAAGATAGCAGCACTGCTGTGCAAGGTGACAGCTGCCAGCCCATGACTGCCGTGTCCCTGGGAAAGCATGCTTGGGTCTTAGTGCTGGGCATGGCCTCCTGTGTGTGATGACCACAAGCCCTCTGTGAGCACAGGTGGGCCTTCCTTGAAGGTTGCTGGAAGCTGAGCAGGAAAGCCCTGGGCACCCAGGTTGGGCCTGCAGTGCCTCAGTGGCTCTTTTTAGCTCAGAGCTCAAGGTCCTGTGGTGGCCTCAGATTGGTGGTGTAGCTGCACCTTCCTGTGCTTTCCCTAGTTCTTTGTAAACAGAGGCTCATGAAATGCTTTCCAGTTGGGACTTCAGGCAGGCCTCTAGTGGATCAGAACCTGTGGAGCACACTGTTGGCCTCTTGACTTCAATTGTGATAGGCAGAAACAGACGAGGGGGTGCCTTTGGCTATTCAGGTCTAGGGAAGGGTTAAGCAGGAAACTGTTTTGAAGTAACTCAAGTTTGTTTGTGTGTTTGTTTTCCCAGCACATGATTAAATACCGGTACATACCATTCACACACGGAAAGAGGAGATACAAAGGGAAGGAGGACGTGGGCAAGACATTTGCTAGTTAGAAGCTGGACTGAATCTGTCACACGTATTCAAGAACGGTTTTGAGCCATTGTAACAATGCCTTTTTCTTCACATAAAGTAGTTGATTATGAGGAAGTTGAATTTTCTTTTTAAGAGGAGCCTCAATGATTTGTATCTGAAATATCAGGTTCTTGAAGAAACTGGCATTTAAATCAAATTGCATTGATTTCTTTTTCAGTGATGTTGATGTGTTTGAAGTGGACAGAATTACAGTGAACCATAGGCTTGGGGGCCAGGCGGGTGGCAGCCCGAGAGAGCGGGAGGGAGGGTGGGAGTGCAGCCCTGCCTTCCCGACCACGCTGAGGCCACTCCTGTGTGCCAGAGGGACATGCCAGCCTGCTTCCTATGTGTGAAAAAGAATGTAACACTTTGAGGGTGACTGTCACATAGCTCTGTGGGGTTCTCATGCCAGTTTCTGAATCTCATCTCACTAGAAGATGTTTTTCAAGTTGGCCTCTATCATAATGACTCAAAACTTTGTTCTTAACTACCATGATTGCTTTTGAGGGCCTGGAATTATAAATATATATTATATTTTAATTGTTTGAGATTATTTTGACACTTTCCTTTGATACGTAACATTTTTCTTTTGATTAATTTAAACTTGTTCTCATGCAACAACTTCTAAGGAACCAGAACTAGCCAGAGCACACCAGGTTTGGGGTTTGTCACATGGCCTTTTACTTTCTATGGGGAAAAAAGAACCTCTCCGCATGTCAAACTTTTTGATGTGATAAAAATAATACTCTTTAAACATTTTACTAAGTGACTTTTAAATTCCAACTTTATTAAACAAAGTGTCCCTTGCTTGTGTAGTTTTTGTCTACACCACTAATCATTTCACTGAAGTGCAGCTTGCTGTTCACAGCTATAGGAGGGGAGCCGTTATCCCAAGTAGCACCAGGACAGAGCAAACACCATAGGTGTAGGAGGGAGAGGGGCTGTCAGGTGCAAGTAGACTTCAGAACTCTCCTTAGTTGTGTTTCTCATCCATCGTACAGTTTTAGATACTAAGTCAGTCACCTGGGATGCTTTTGCTGACACTATCGTTCCCCTTTTAGGCCACATTTTGTACACTCAACTCATTATTTTTTAATGACGTAAGTTTGGGCTTTTTTTGTTTTTTATTTTTTTCCTTCTATGTGAGCATGTGGGTTCAAATCTGGACATTTTTGTTTATTTTCCATATCACTGACTAAGCTTAAGATATGATGGAAAGAAAGTTGGGTGTACCTGGCCAGAGCAGTGAGTTACAAATGGGGTACTGCAGATCACTGTAGAGTTGTGTTCCAGGTTCCCACAGGAACTTTGTCTTCCCATAGGGTACCTGAAGTTGCCCTGTGTCTATCTTGGTCCTGTGTTCCCCTTAGAGGAACGGTTCCTGCTCTTGGTAAGGGAACCTTGTCAAGGAACATTGTAACATCAGACACCTGCTGGTGGCTGGGCTTCAGCCCTGCTCACTAATTACAGACATCTTCACACTATTTTATGAAGTCTTTCTAGATCTGTTTTTTTGTTTGTTTGTTTTTGTTTTTTTGAGACAGCATTTTTTCTTTGTAGCCCTGGCTGTCCTGGAACTAGCTCTGTAGATCAGGTTGGCCTTGAAATAACCGAGATCCACCTGCTTCTGCCTCCCGAGTGCTGGGATTAAAAGCTACCACCGCCCAGCTAGATCTTCTGTTCTTAATGTACCTTTTCTGTGGAATTAGTGTCTTAAAGATGTTCCAGGCTGTCTTTGTCAGCTTGGAAATGTCAAATGGAGTGAAGAAGCTAGGGACAAAAGTGACATGGGGTAAGCAGGTCACACTTGTTCATCCAGGCCTCCAAGCAGATACAACTCACCAGACTTCCTCAGAGGACTGGTATCTGAGGACACATGGAAATTGGTTTATAGGAGAAAACTCATTCAAGCCAACTTGCCAGGTCGGCGAGATGTTCGACAAGTAAAGATGCTGCCGCCCAGCCCAACCTGAATTTATGCCCTGAAATACATGATAAAAAGAACCAGCTCCTGCAAGTTGTTCTCTGGTCTCTGCACATGCGACATGGCATGTGTGCACCTTTGTGCAACTCAGAGAGCCCCCATTCCTACCCATTAGGCCCAGATGGAGACCTTCATTTTCTTAAGGAGTTGGGGACATGTATTAATAAGCATGTGGCAAATAAGTGTGTTAGGAGTGCTGATGTGTGGGTGTGGAGCCCATGGTGTAGTGCTGCACTTCCAGCCTAACCCTCAGCCCTGCCTCTCACACAGACCTGAGTAAAACACCCCGAACATTTGAAGCAGTTCTTAGCAGTTCTTAGTGTGGCTTGGGAAGGGGGTCCTACTACCTCCAGAGACTCAGAAGCCATAATAAATAAGGGGCAATAAACTCTCCTGCCCCATATGGAGTGTTGCCCTGACCCTTTCTCTTCCCAGGTAACTAGTAGCTTACATGACAACAGTGTGAGGATTTTATATTTCTGTACAACCACAGTTATGAGGATAAACTCTGTGAACTTCCATCCACTTCTTGGAGCTGTTTGGTGATGATCTGTCCTGGTCAGCGGTAGTGCCTCAGGTAGACCAGCTTCTGGGGTGGGAACTTCTCCCTGCACAGGGGACACTCTGTCTATGGGGTGGGGGGATGTGTGTCACAAAGCTGTGTGCTATATCTGGCCCCGATCCCCATTGCATCTCTTCATGTTCCACACATGCATAGCCGTAAGTCAACCAGAACACAGCCTCTCCAGGGTCTGAGTCCTAGTGGGGCTAGGCATGGCCATGGTAGTGCTGACTCAGCATAACTGTTGTGCCCCCCCCCCCCCATACCTATGGATCTTGGGTTTCTGGGGCCTCTCCTGGGCTTTTCTTTCTGACTGAGCCTCTGCCATGTCTTCCCATCAGTAAAAGACATCAGGCCCTATATGCTATTCTGGTCTCTCCCTTGTAGAGCATCAACCAGGTCAAACTCTGGACGCACCCTGGTGCTTCCTCTCAAGAGACAGGACTTGTTTTGCCATCGGTGTGAGAAAGGAGGACACACAGTCCACACTCACACATGCTGGCACCTGGGGAACTTGCTGACTATGCAAATTGCTGACTTAGCAGTGTGAATGCCTATGTTTTCTGTACTGCCTCCCAGGATGCTACTTCTTAACAGCAGGGCTGTAGCCACATAAAGTTCCTTCTTGCTTGTAGTCTCAGCTTTTAGCCAGGGCAACAGCTCACTGGCGAGACAGGCCAACCAGGGCCCTGCTGCTTACAAGAAGCAGTGTGCTTTGGGCTCCTGTCCTGCCGAAAACCGTTCAAAGCACACAGGGACAGCTTGGTGTGTGTACATGCACTAGCATCCTAAGTGTGCTGAGCACACCAGGAAGCAAGGCAAACCTGTGGCTAAGTGTAGCTCGATCTGTGCACCTAACAGCTACCATTCACCTGCATATTCAGTCAAACCTCAAAAGGGGAAGCTTCCCTCTGACTGGGAACTTCAACTTCAAGGATGGTTCATCCATTTTAACACCCCCAATTCAATCACTTCTCCACCCCCAATTCAAGATAGGTTTGGGAGGTGGGGTAGCATACTTGCATACATACCTTAGTGTTGCACCACTCAGTAATGCATTCCCAGCAGAAAAGGTGGCCACAAGGAGTAGCCGTGGAGTGTCTTCGTTCCTCCAAGCATAGGGTGCATAGTGGGGCTCTGCAAACAGCTCTGTCTTCCAGGGAACTCCTATGGGAGTGGGTGAGGACACAACTCAGGTGAGTGCGTCTTTCACAATCTCAGGGCATGCCAAAGCACCTCAGGCCCCCTGCACACCTGCGGTGGGACAGGTTGCGGTGCAGCCTCCACTCCTTCCTGGCTCGCTGCTTCTGCCTGAAGCTATACAACTGCAGTCCCATGGACAGTGCCAGATGTAACAGGGAGATGAGTCCCAGCAGTCGGTAGCTTGTACGAGCTCTCAGGTCCTCTCCAGGCAAGCGGCGAGTTCGGAGCTGTTAAAACAGGTAACCCCCCAACCCCGACGCCATCAGGATCCCCCTAGGACCTGGCCTCTTGTCTGCTAGGGGTTTTGTGTTCAGCCAGGCCTCCCCTTGGCACTGGGAGTGTTCAGAAAACAAGAACCAACCAGGGAGATATGTTCAAGAATTAAGTAGTGAGGGAGAACCCAAATTATAGGTTGATCTTTAGGCATTAGACCAGAACTGAGCCAGGAGGCTTAGATGGGTCAGGAAAATGGGTGAGGATTCTAGAGCTGTTTGGGGACCACTTCAGAGGAAGAGGAGGAGCCTGGGGAAGAATAGAATGGGGAATAGTGAGGGGAACCTGGACGAGCAGATGCTGTTCCTTTTACTGAGTCCTCTGTGACAGGATCCTGTCCTTGCCTCTGCTGTAGCTAGTGATCTAACTCCCATCCACATCACAACAGAACCCTGCTGTCTTCCATTTCCTGTCCCTTCTTATGAAGACACCAGGGCACCTGATACCTCGGGCTCACAGGATAGCAGGCTCTGTCACAAACCCAGAGTCTAACATTCAGCAGCCTGACATTGGGGAGGGAGGCACAGCTGCTCAACTAAGTGACTGCTGGGGAGATTTTGTTGGATAACCCCTTGTCTGGCAGTACTGAGGTTAAACCTGAGGCCAGACTATGGTTCTCTGATGAGGGTGTGTAGGAGGGGTAATTTGACTGGAGGAAATGGCATGTGGTCCCCTCTGACAGGAACTTTGAACAGCTCTAGTGGGTGGTGGGCATGGAGTTAATACCTAAGAGGAGGTTTTGGGGGGTGACAGTATGCAAGGGCATTGGTAGAAAGCTAGGGTTTGAAAAGGTGAGAGGCAGCCAGACGCAACAACCAGGTTTACTACTGACCAAGGTCTGTGGCCTGTGGCCTGTGGCCTGTGGTGTGAAATGGTGATGTGCTTACTGTGGGCCACTGCAGGAATATTTCTTAGACCAAGCCCCAAGACCTTGCCTTTCTGGTAGCGCTGCTGTAGGCAGGGATGAACGGGAAAGGCCAAGCTCTGGGCTAGAACCTGCACTTGACACCCCTTGGAATAGGTGCTCATCCCCCTAGGCAGTGAAATGGACATAGCCAGCCACAGGCCAATAGTGTGAAAACTGCTGTGGGGTTAGACTTAAGTCAGTGCCTGGCTCTGTTGCCGCACACACGCTGCACTTTGTGGAAACTGCACTTCCCTGGAACTTTTAGGAAAATAAAGCTGAACAAACTGCTGTTTCCCAAGTACAGGGTTTCAGTTCCAACTTGGAAACAACACTTGGCTGTGATCGTGCCATCAGCATGGGTCCCAAAGAGGCTTCCCAGAGGGCCCCAGCCCATAATCAGTTCCCCTTGGCATGGCTACTTACATAACTGATCCCTGCTAGCCTCTTGGCCAGGTGGTAGAAGGCACCATGGATATAAAACCAAGCAACATGGAACCGATGGAGGCAGGCAAGGCCCTGTCTAAGGATAAAGATTGTCCGTTGGAGCGTCCTCCTTTGCTGTTCAGACAGGGTGGCGGCATGGTGACGCACCCAGCGCCTTGCCCCTGACCGACTTCGTCCTCCAGGTAGTAGACTTCCCTGTGAAGCCCGTGTACCGTCACCATCGGCTTGCAGTTCCTGCTCTAGGGGCAGCAGTGCTTTATCTAGCAGGTAGGGCAAGACAGCATGGAGTGCAACCAGCACTCCACGGCGGAGCCTGGAGGGCACATGCTGCTGGGATGGGTCCACTTGGATGATCCCAACATACTCCTCTCCAAGTGTCTGGTAGCCTGAGGATCAATACACAGTGGTGAGGGTCCAAATGCAGGGACAAGCTTCTAGACCAGCCTACCCCCTCCCCGCCCTTCAAGCATCAGCAGTCACCCCAGAACCTGTCCTTCCAGGCTATCACCGTGAGACCTAGCCAAGGTCAACATGACTTCTTGTTAGAGCCACTGTGGTCTTTCTGTGACCCCATGATGCCACTCTAAGATAGGTCCTTGCTTCCCCTGTCGGTTCCTGTGCTCCTCAGTCTTGATTTGTGCCCAGTTTCCAGTCCCTCCTCTGCCTAACCCCTATCCCTTATCCAAGTGATGGGATCCAATCTTGTGGCTTCCTGCCTTCCAGACTATGGCTCAGTGTGGATCTGGTTCAGTCCTAAGTATGAGGTGAAAGGTCAGCTGCTTACCTGACAGTTTCACAAGGAGTCAGATAAAACACCCTCAAGCCTACCCCTGCCAAAAGCTAGCTTCTAGTTGTCCAACTTGGGAAAGTCTTGTTTTCTTGCACCCTGCAGAAGGCAAAGCCAGACCCGTGGTGTACCTTGAACTACTCTTTCCACCATGACCGTTTGTATCAACCTCTGCCCCCAGCGTGTCTGTCTGATCATGGCCTGCAGTTATCCCCTTCCCTTATCTGTATTTTGCAATGCCTCATAAAAGGTGAAGGCCTGTCTCCTGAGAGTGCCTGGCTACTTTCTTTGTCTGACCAGAAAATGCTTTCCCCTCCAGACTTGGTGTTTTGCCCTGAAGAGCTCGACACTTTTCAGGATTCCTTACAGTGTGGATACTTGGTGCTTTCTGTGTCTCCCACCACCCAGAGTGTAGTCAGCGGGGGCAGGTTACCCACAGTGACCTCTCCTGGCATCTGTCTCGTGGCATCTCCATCATTCCTTGCTGGATTTTGAGCTGGCACTGGTGACCTGAGGCCCTTACTATGGTTTCATTCTAAAGGACTACACAGCGGTTTAATTGGTCACTATGTGATGGGTCTGTACTGACTTGCCTTTTGCCACTGAGAAGTGGGTCCTGGGGTTGGGAATTTAGCTCAGTGGTAGAGCTTGCCTTGTCTATCAAGCACAAGGCCCTGGATTAGGTACTCCCCCTGGGGGTGGGGGAGTAGGATGTCCTGGATCAAGGTCCTCCTGGCTGAGGGCTGAGTGCTAGCCTCTTGTCTGGTCAGGGTCTTTCTTCCCTGAGGCTACATGTAGGTGAATTCCAGGAGCTGCTCAGAGGGTTGGGTGGATTGTGGGCCCCTCAGTGCCAAGGACCTGCCAAGTACTGCTACCTGCAATTGTTGTGAGGCCAAAGTAGGCTATGTCTGAGAGCAGTTCGATCTCTTTCCTCCATTCCAGCCATTTCTTTGCACCTGAGAGGAGAAAAACATTACCTCTAGGGATGCGAAGTGGGTTCAATAAGATTCTCTCCCCGATACCCAGGTTGGGGGGTGGCTTTAAGTCCAGGTCAAATCCCTCCTCTTCTAGGGCGATCCTCCAATACTCGCTCTCTCAGGCTCCTCTGCTTCCCTGCCCTGTCCACTCTCCCCACTGGGTTGATGTGAATGACTCCGAGGGAAGGCTACTTCCTAAGAACCTCTCAGTGTAAGTGTCTTGAGTCAGGAACTGTCCTAGAACTTAGGAGCCCTCAGGAAAGTCTAGGTAGTGCCAAGAACACAAGCCAGAGATCGATCACCTGGTTATTATCAAATCTCGGCTCTCTCAAATCCCTGCCTGTGAGATCTTTCTGAAAACATGCACAGGCCTCCCTGTAAGAGTAATAACGTTAGGTCCAACCTGTAGGGCCGTATGAGAAGTCAGTGGGCAAACGTTTGAGAACACTAAGCAGGCGCTGCCTGGCGCAGAGACCTGCAGTGTTCTGCAGTGAGTAAGTCTGTTTTGATCCTCGCTTTCCTAAGGAGCCTGGGGCGCTTACCCGCTAGGCTGTGCAGCGCGCTGCCCGCCGCGCTCCGCAGGCCTCCCAGGTAGTAATCGTCCTTCTGCGCCGCCCGGATCACTTCAGGTGCACCTGCCAGCGCCATGGCCCGAGTTGGGGAGCTCACACCGCGCCGGCGCGCCCAATGGGCGGGGCCTGTGACGCTCGACGTGCCTCGGTCGTGCGGCGCAGGCTGTGACCATCACGCGGAGGAAGGCGGGGCCTAAGCGCGACATCCTGAAAGGCGGGCAACCTACCGGAGAGGCAGGGATCGGGGGCGGGGCCTAAGGCGGAGCCACGCAGAAGGGGGTGGTGTCTGTGCTTGGGGGGCGGAGCCACGTAGTGGAATAGCCAATATCGAGAAGGATGTTGTTGGTTCTTGGCGGGCGGGACCCTGAGAGAGCTCAGTCCCGCAGCCCCGCAGATTTGCCCTTGGCTTGATTCACGTTCAGTTCTTTTGGCAGGAGGTACATGTCTCTGGGCCTGTAGGAGTGGACACTTTTAGGACAGTCGTGTGATAGTCTCCTCCGGCTGCCCATGCCCCGGTTTCCTCGGCTTGGGTTGGACAGCCCCGGACAATACCGTTGACCACTGCCAGGAGGCAGGCACGTCTCAGGCAGAGGCACAAGCTTCTCGCAGAATCAAATACAACAGTTTGAAATGCCGGTTCCTCGAAGGCCCAAGGCTGCTTGTGTCCCTAGGAAACTTTCTTGTCTTCAAACTCAGAAGCTCGGTTCTAGCATAACTATGAGGTATGGCCTGCTCCGCGTGTCCCCTCATGGACTGCTGCTTTTCTGGATTCTCTTCTCTCAACCGTGGGGAGCAAGACCAGAAACGGTATCCCAAGTATCTGTTCCCTGGGAGATGCTTGTGCCTCTCTCCATGGGCTCAAATTCCCAACCACAGACCTCGTCTCAGCTGTTGACAGGTGTCTTGACCCTCAGGGCCCTCCCCCGTTTGTTGGTTGTTGCACATAAGACACCCACCCACTCCTAGGGTTCTTCTTAAGGGACAAACCACAGGAAGGCCAGCAGGTGGTGCCATCGGCCCATCTCTTCTACCAGCTTGGGTAGCTAGGGACTATTACCCCAGAGACATCCAGCACAGGTTAGGAAACAAGTGGCCCTTCAGCAAGGAGAGGAAGTGGATGGGCAGGAAGAGTAGTGCCATCATTCTAAATCAATTCTCCGGGTTCCCAGGTGACCATATGGCCTGGGGGCCCTCTTTGCTTTTCAGTGTTCCGGGGTTTAAGTACTCTGACGTGGTGGTAGAGTGAGAGTTCTCTCTAGGGGACAGGATATGCCCCTTGTCACCTGCCTTTGATCACTCTTTGCCTGAAGCACAGGGGTCCTGGGCCTGAGCCTTGTGACTAGCTCCTTGTAAACTTTTTCCTCTGCTCCAAGAATGGAGGACAGGAAGACCAGGCTCCTGAGGCTTTTAGGGAAGGCACCAGAGGTGTGGGTCAAAGTGGTTGACAGGTCTAGTCTGGCTTTGACTCACCTCTGGGCTCCTTGAGGGCCACCCCAATCCCTGAACCAAGTGTCATTCCCTGTTATCAATTGTAGTGGGGGTCCCTGGGGACACTGCACTGGAGCGATTTTGGACTGGCCTTTGACTTGCCGCCCCCCCCACTAGCCCAGTACCAGGGTGCCATCAACAAGGGACAATGTGTGTCCTGCACATTCCTTCACTTGGTGGGTCTCGGCTTTCTGGTCTGTAGCTCAGGAATAATGGTGGTGTTGAGAGCTGGTGTTGAGAGCCCACCATGCTAGCGCTGAGCACTTGCATTGTCTGGGCTTAGAGATGCAGGTGGGTCATGGATCTGGGACAGGATACAGTTCTGCATCTCTTCTAACACAGGAGCTTCTGGGGCAAAGGTCAGCCATCCTAGGAGCAGTGTTCACAGTTTTGCCCCTCAACAACTTCTTCTTCTTCTTTTTTTTTAGTTATTATTAATATGTTATTTTATTTTTTTTATTAGTTCAAATTAGGAACAAGCTTGCTTCAGATGTCAATCCCTTCCCCCTATCCCTCTCCTCACCCCAACATCCCACCTGCCCCTAGCCATCCCCCCTACACTCCCCAGGCAGGGTAAGGCCCTCAAAAGGGATTCCCCAAAGTCTACCACATCATCCTGGGCCAGGCCTAGGCCCTTCACAACTTCTATATTCTTCATACACTGGGTATTTTGTTGTCTTGCCTGATGTTCTTTGCCAGGAATGCTAGCTCTGGCCACTTTGTTTTCTAATTTTATTAAATAATTAAATTTACCGTGTGTGTTATATGCATATGTATGTATGCATGTTTGCATATGCATGGGCATATGTATGATGTGTGTGATGTGTGTATGTGTGTGTGTGGTGTGTAATGTGTATGTGTGTGTATATGCGTGTTGATGTGTGTGTGTATGTATGTGTGTGTATGTGTGTGTGATGTGTATGTTTGTGTATATGTGTGTGTGTGTGTGTGTAATGTGTATGTGTGTGTATATGCGTGTGGTGTGTGTGTGTGTGTGATGTGTATTGTGTATGTGTGTGTATATATATGTGTATGTATGTGTGTGTGATGTGTATGTGTGGTGTGTGTGTGTGTGTGTGTGATGTGTATTGTGTATGTGTGTGTATATATATGTGTATGTATGTGTGTGTGATGTGTATGTGTGTGTAATGTGTATGCGTGGTGTGTGTGTGTGTGTGTGTGTGTGTGTGTGTGTGTGTGTGTGAGGGGGTGGTGCTGGTGCAGGATATCTGGCATCACTCTGGATTGCTCTTCCACTGTATTCATTGGAACAGGGTCTTTCAGTCAAACCCAGAGCTTGCCCATATGTCTAGTCTTGTTACTTAGCTTGCTCTGGGAATCCCCAGTGACTGCCTTACAAGGGTGAAATTACAGGTGGGTCATCTCACCCATCAGATGAGCTCTGGGTTCTGACCTGTGGTTCTCTTGCTGGTACAACAAGCACTTTATCCATTGAGTTCTATACCCAGCCCTATCTGATCTCCCCGGCCCATAGTTCTGTTGATAGGGAGGCCAGGGAACTGGGAGGGGATACTCAGGAGGTGTCCCTATTACTTCTGCTCTGTGTCCCCCCCCCCAGGTTATCCCTTCCAGCACTACCTAGTAGACTGCTAAATGAAATGAATCAGCACACATAAGCTTTCCTTTGCCTGAGTCTGATTCCTTGTAAACTCTTACCTCTGCCTCTTGAAGGGATTTATTGCTTTGGTGGTTGCTGTGTACATCAAGCCTGGGATGGGGCTTGCCACACAGCTGCCACTCAGGAAGACGGTGGCAAAGCAGGAAACCAGGGGAAGTGCAGTAAATTCCTTTCTCTGCCTGATCCAGCCCTGGGGTTTGAGGCAGGAGTGATCCATCCTTGACTGGACTTCTAGAGCCCCTGTCCTCACTGGTCAGCTGGCCTTCTGGGAACCAGATGAGGGACAAGATAGTGCTTTCCCTGTGGGAATGGTGCACCAAGGCTGCCTTAGTCTGAGGGATTCTAGGAGGCCTGCCCCACCACCTGGGCTGGGAGCTGGGGTGAATCCCGGGGCTCCTTACATTTTCCATTGTGCCCTCCATTGCTTTAACTGTAGAGGGTCAGAGGGACTGGGTAACAACCCGCTCAGGAGTACCTCAGGTCCAAGGACATGATGACTGTTAGGGTGGGGCCTGCCCTAGGCAGGAGGCCCCTCTACAGGCGCCACAAACCTGGAAAACAGGTTCCTCCACCCAGGGCAGGCAGGCTGGAGGCTCTGAGAGCACACCACAGCCAGCTGCTTTGGTTGCTGCAGATTGGAGCCCTGGAGGTACTGTGGGCACCAAGAAATGGTGGGGGTATTGGAGGGATTATGAGGCCCCAGAACCAAACCTGGGGGGCTCTGTTAGGTAGGCAGAGACCTCTGGGAGCCTCCCCCACTACCCTTGTGGGCTTGCTAGTCAGGGTAGGCCTGGGGGCAGGAAAGTTAAACCCTTTGTGGAGGCTGTGTACCCTGGGAAGAGACTCCGGTAGTTCTGGGGGCACAGGAAGGTGGCTGGGATGCCACCCTTAGCCAGGACCCAGGGTAGGAGGGGTTGTGCTCCTGTGCTGGTCCCAGGGACAAGAAACTTTGGATTCTCAGTGCTGATCCAGCGTGGGGTTCTGGGGCTTTGTGCAGCCTCAGAACTTGGAGCTGAAATGGCAACAACCCTGGGGCTGGGGAGGAAGGGGCTTGGTCCTGGTGGCAGTAGCTCAGGTTAGAGGTTGGCGTGGGATTGAATCCAGGTCTGGCTGGTCCCACTCCCGCACATGTCTTCATCTGCTGACAGAATGGATTGTCTAGCATTGGGCAGCAAGACTTTATTGGTGGAGTGAGGGTCCTTACACTGTGGCCATCACCCTGCACTGTGCTGTATAACAAGGGGCTTACAAAAAGCTTCCCAGGAAGCCGGGCGGCGGTGGCGGTGCATGCCTTCAATCCCAGCACTAGGGAGGCAGAGGCAGGCAGATCTCTGTGAGTTTGCAGCCAGCTTGGTCTACAGAGTTAGTTCCAGGACAGGTTCCAAAGCAACACAGAGAAACCCTGTCTTGAAAAACCAGAAATAAATAAGTAAATATAGTAATAAATAAAGGTTCCCAGGGAGTAGAGATCTGGAAAGACTTTCCAGAGCAGGAGGGGCCTCTGTCTATGAGGAAAATGTGGACATACAGGCACCTGCAGGCCAGGGATGATGGACAAGTTGTAACTGAGCAGGGATACAGGCTGGCTTTCTATCTCCTTTACACAGGATAGAGGGCAGGAGGGCTGGTCACCCTAAGACAGTATAGGATGCAGTACCTTAAGAGTAATCACTGGCCCCAAGGACATGAGGCAAGGCCAGTGAGGCTTGAGGGAGGCCTAGGCTGGGAGCAGAATGGGCCTGAAAGGTCAGGTTCTGTGGTACTCTTCGTGGACAGGCCTAGGGACAGTGTAGCTAGGTGTTGGGGGCTGGGGGCTACAGACTTGTGAAGCTACACTGCACTCACCCAGCACCCTCCAAGTACAGGGGTAGAATCTGGAGCAGGAGGCAGTGGGGAGAACGGGCTGGGAAGGCACCCGCAGTTCAGGTGTGCCTCCATGCCTTTATGTTTGTTTCCTAGACCTCAGCTCCATCATCTGCCAATCACGAGAGTGGAGGTCCCA